CATGAGAGATGAAGCTTACCAAGTTTGGGGCCTGCGCGCGACGATCGCGGCGATGCGACCCCTCACCCTCACTACACCGCACATATTATGGCCTTTTAGACGATAGCGCGCGCGCCCAACCCCATGGTCTTCAGACCTGAAACTTGGCAGTCTTAATCGCACCCCCCTTCTCCCAAATCGTGCCAACGCACACCCTCCCTCGAGCCAAAATGCAGTCGCGGGGATCGTCCATAGCTTGATTAATTGAGATTGCTGGGTTTTACGTAGTGCTTGTTAAGGACATGCTCCTGTGAGAACTCGGTCAGGTCATGGCGCGTCGCCCGGGTCCAGTGGATAAGAACCTGGACACGAAGGTGACAGCCGGTCTGGAGAAGCTCGACTGCCAAATCCTTGGGCGCTACTTTCCTGGCTAATCGAAGATGTTGTACACTTATTACGCAGTGCTCTCATTGGTCAGGCGCGTCTCACGCGTTTGGTAGAACCTGACTGGCTAAATTGCGCGCACTCGTGACTGAAACTTACCCGCATCTGACGTTTCGACGGAAAGGAAGGGAAATGTACGAGAAGATTTCTATAATAGTTTTCCTCGTGTCTCTGATCCTCTGCCAAATAAGGAGTTTTTCTAGAATTCTCCGTCACATCCGTAGACTTATGATCATTTGTCAGGGTCGTGAGCCATTCATCGCCTCAACTTTCAGGTGCCACGCGCATACGTTTCATGTGTGGCACCCAGAACGCCTGAGCAATAGCGAGTGTACGAGCTTTCGTTTTTTGTACAAGCCGATTTTGGACTCTTTGGAGCTCCTATTGGCTCCCGAATGTCAAGTTGATCGCAGGATCACATCAGTCTGGGACCTGTGGCTCGCTTCACACATGCGTCGTAATGACATATTCATTTACGTTGGTGATATAAGAATGTACATATTCTTTTTTGTGCGTTTCCGAAGTCTGCGGCGCCGCGGTATCTATTGCATCTACTTCCAAACCGAGCCGATTCACCTTGTGCTCCCGGTATTGTTGGACAGACTAGGCCTGTTTTCTAAGCACCAGCCCGACGAAATCTGGGACTACGCAGCCCTTAACCTCACAACTCTCCAGAAACTTGACGTGCCTAGTCTCACCTGCAAGTACTTTCCTCCTGTAAATCTGCCCAGGTCCTTTTTGATTGACCACGCGTCAAAGCTCGAGACACCCGACCTCATCTTCCTCGGCAACATCAAGCATCGGTCACTTAAGTGGGAACAGCTAAGGAATGCTTCTCCACTCATGAGGGCACATTTAAGGGCGATTTCTGACATATGGGATGATGACGCTTATACAAATATGCTTAGACAGCCCGGAAGTTCAATTTTCCTCAACATTCACAAGGTTGGGGCCACGACAATCGAAGCCCTTCGCATCAACAAACTTCTTGGCCACAAAGCCCTTATCATTTCGGAACCCTGCGAAGAAATCGACCGTCTGAACTACAACGGCCTCGTTTTCTTTGAGCCGTTGGAGTGTATCCCGCAAAAATTTGACGAGCTCGTTGCAATTGGACCTGAGAGACGGCAGAAACTGGCCGATGAGATCTACGGTGCGTTTAGCGCACGCTATGACGTAAATAATTGGGGAAATCTCCGGCGTGGCATGCTAGCCCGATCAACGCGGGCAAGCGCTTGTAAAACCAGATAGACCATGTTAGCGCTTGTAAAACCATGTGGTGGTTCTGTCGATCGTTGCGGTATTGTGGGCTCATGATTATCGGCCCGATAATGCGACGATGGAGTAGCACACTTGCACCAAGAGTGATTGTCTATGGGCGCCCACGACCCAAACTCAAAACGTGCTCGCCTTGTCAATACACACGCGCATTCGTGAGTGAGTATCGGTGTCGCGGTTCAAGACAGCAGCAGGTGCCACAGGAGCAGGTGCCACCGCATCAGGTGCCGCAGCAGACGCAGGCCCAGCAAGAGGCATGGAGTCGCTGGACCAAAGGTGAGAGCATGTCTATGGTGCCCAATTACAGTTTTTCCGAGTCAGGCTACTACATTTGCGCGCGCGGTCGAATTTTTTTTGTTTGGCTGGGGGTAGCGACTACGCGCGGAGCGCGGCCGCGACGGTTAGCCTATTGAGCTTCTTATATTAAGGGGATTATCCAACGTAGCTTAACGCAGATAGTCCCCACCGCGCGGCTGGCGCTTGAAAAAGTTTTGCTTTCCACCCTGGTCAGCCGCCGTTTTTTCTTCGGGTGATCAAGCTCCTCAAGAACGAACAGCCACCGGTTTTAGCAAGCTCACCTGACACAGAAGGACGAAGCCCCAAAAGCACATGTGCCAGGCTGCCACTTATCCCGAAGGCACTAATGCGACCTTCAACGACTGGCAAGCCTGGTTGTTGCTGCTGGATTGCAAGGCAGGTTTCCACTGACATGTAGACTCGAGCTGTGACCAGACCAAATATATGGGGATTTAGTTATTGTAGTCCGGAGCTGGGTCCAACATGGCCTCTTCTCGTTAGAGCAATGAGTGCTGCGATTCCCGCCCCTCCCGAGGCAAACTCCAGGTGGCCCAAACTTGCTTTTAGAGACGAACAGCGTACCGCGGCTATGGGAGATGAGTTCCAGACAGCACGTGCGGCACCGATTTCGATCGGATCACCTAGTGGCGACCCTGTGCTGTGAGCCTCTAATGCGATGGTCAAACCATCCGTTCTGTGCTCCGACTCGACACGCTCGCTCAATACCTCCTGGGACTTGCCGTTGGGTGCCGTCAGACTAGCTCGGAGAGCATCATTCAACACTGCTGAGCACACAACTCGGACGGTACATATTCGATCCTCGCAGTTTAAATGATATCCCAAGCAGCTTTCGCCCCGAACGAAGCCATCTGCTCAAGTATCGAACGAGTGACAGCGCCCCAGAGACGAGATTGCGCTGGGGAACGCGGACCAGGAGCCTCGGGTGAGTAGTCCGACGCAGAGCACCAGACCTGGAATGACAGCAGTTTTGAGCATATGGATTGCTACAAGCTGAGTCGAGCAGGCCGTGTCTAGGGCGGCGCATGCTCCAGATAGTCCAAGGTTGTACGATATTTCGGCGCATACTCGCGTAGATTTTCATCCTTGGGATATCCCAGCGTATACAGTAGTATTTGGAGCTGCAGTATTTCCCAAACATGAGTGTGCACATGACAGGGATATACTGATTTCTGGATCATTTGAAACGCCACGAGAGTCGAGACCACTTTCGAGCACTGGGACCGATAGAAAAGAACCGTACGCAACTCAAAGCTCATCTGCGTCCAATCAACATCATGGCATTGTGGATGGGGGATCTTGCGTTTGACCGAT